GAGCAGGAGAAGAGCTGTCGACATGCTCTTTGGCACCGTACCTGAACTCTGTACCATGGCATCCTGTCCGTCATGTGCTTTCGCCATGGATTTGGCAAGCAAGTTCCTGTTCCTGCTCAGATTTTTGAGAAACACTGGAGCTAAGTCAGTCAGTGTGTGGTCCGTTCTCAAAATCCATGGCAAAAAAGATAACAGACTCAACTTGATAGACTTGATAGATACGAAACACGATAATACACTCAGTAAATCCTGACCTGGTCATTCAAGCAAGCAGATGTATATATCAGGGGACCGATCATGGCCGCTGCAAGGTTTTCATGGTGCTTGGCTACGCTTATTTGGATTCAATCAGGGCCAGTCGCATAGGGAGTCGCTTGGGTGGAGTCAGCGCCGGTCATTGAGAGGGGCCTCTTAGAAGGAGGCGCTTTGAAGAACACATTTCAAATACTCCTTAGAGAGTGTTTTCCCCTCTTGGAAGCCCTCGCAGAAGATGTTTTGCCTTCTCCGAAGTCTTGCAGACTACCTCCCAGAGTGCTTTGGTCTTAATCTGCCGGAAGATCGATGGTGCTCCGCGGCATTCTGTGTGACTACACTTTGTTTGTCAAAGGATCGACCATGGCCGCTACGAGGTTTTTTGTGGTGCTTGGCTGAATATTTTTTGGTCGCTTTCATCCCATCGCGCCGAAGACCCCATCCATGCTCAGGACTAGTGTTGTCCGAGCAAGATTGGACCCTCCTTACCACACACCAGAAGAGGTCATAACCCGTTTGGATGGCCGGAACACCACTCGATCCGAGAACGTGACATTCCCCAAAACATGCATTTGGAAGGATCTTTGAAGCATAGCCATTAATGATCATTAGTGCATTCACCTGGCCATATTGACCGCCAGCAAACAGATGCTTTCGTTCTTACACGGACCACGGGCCATCTTTACTGAAGGCAGCTTGGCGGCAAATCTGAAGATGGCCCTCCAAGTAGAGCTCCTTTTTCACAGGGTCGTGAAAGATTGACAAGGGGTACAGACCTTGATGAACATGATGACCATGACTTACTAGCAGTACCACACTTGGCAACGCTTATTTGGGTTCAATCAGGGCAAAATGACAATGGGAGGCAGATGAGTCAGTCAGCGCATTGGAGGTTGAATAAGCGCAGAGGGCCATTGAGAGGAAGCTTCTTTATGGACTAGAGACCATGCAACTTACAAAGTCAGAACAGAAGTCAATAGATGCTTTTCAGATGAAGATGCTGAGGACAATTCTCAGGGTACCATCCACGTATATTGACAGAGCATGGACAAACCAACGAATAATAGACACCTTATGCCAACAATTCGGATACCAGCATGTCAGTCTTTCAAACAGATGGAAACTAAACAAAATTCGCTTGTTAGGGCACATTCTCCGTGCGCCCCCTCTTGACCCTATGAGAGGAGTCCTTTTTGAATCAGGAACTTTCACACCTAGGATTGAGCATACCCGACGAGTAGGCAAACCGCGAGCTCATTGGCTGCTCGAAGCATGTCAGGATACATACGCACTCATTAATCCACATCTACATACCTCGCCCAAAGACGTGCGCCTCCCTTCAATACACGCAGGAACATACCAATGCAATAGCACACCGAAATTTTCACCAAATAGCTCCCTACTTGATTGATGCCCGTTGAGTCCTGAAAATCTTAAATCTTTGGCCTCTGTGATAACATCACAGAGCGTAAGGCTTGAATAATTTGACTTTTGCTTTGGGCGTTCAGTGAAAGCTGGGCAACCCTCAGCTCAAATCAGAGTAGCGTGCCGAATGAAATTGATAGGAGTTTCAGAAGGAGGCGATTGGAAGAAACCATCTCAAGTACTTCTTATAGGTCCCCTCTTAGAAGCCCTCTTGGAGGCTGTTTTGCCTCCTCAGAAGCCTTGCCGACTACTTCACAGAAAGCGATTGCTTGTTATGAGCTCTCTGCCAACGCCACCTGTGGACTCCCTTCATTTCCCCGTTCATTGCCATGCTCCATTTATGCGGTTGACATGTCCTCAGTGAAAGGAGTGAAAGAAAAGCAGGCGTCCTTTTTCCAGCCTTTCAAGTCTTTCTGGCGAGCTTGTGTTGCTTTGAGTTGCCCGCATGATGTGACATCTAATGTGCTTGGCTGCCTTCGATATGTTCGATCGGCAAGTTTGAGAACGTTCAAGGAGGCTAGGCCAGTTGTTAGCTAGATGCACCCTGCATTTTGTAGCCAAAAAGGCACCTTTCTGGTGGTGTAGGCCCCCTTCATTTTGTAGACCTGAACTTGAGTCCCCTCATTTTCTAGACCCTAAACCTCACCCTCTACTACTAAATGCCATGTACAACGTCGCCCGAGCCGAGCCTTCAGCAGTGTGTACGACCATGAGCTCCAGCACCGATGTGTTGCAAAACTGCCTGAAATCCAGCAGCCTGAAATCAAGCAACAGAGGTTGAAGGACCTGAAAAAGCGATGATCCCATAGGTACCCCAGTGGGGTCCTACAAGGGCACTTAACCTCTCTTGGACCGTCTTCGGCCGATATCTTGAAGCCCCTGATCACCTCAGCGCTCATCTCTGTTTGGTGAGCGCCGCCTTTTGACCAAGTTTCGACACCACTATTTGGGCCACAGCGTTGGAGACTTGGTGCAGGTGTCGGCGTTTTTCCTCCGTTTTGAGAAGAAACGGATGAGCTATGACTTATGACGCGTGACAAAAAATGTAGGGATGTGGGTTAACAAAAAACCTCATCACGCCCAGCCATGACTTTGGCATGGCAAACGGATCTCAAAAGGAAGCTTCAAGCTGCAGAACTGTCATACACTCACCAAGAAAAGAAGACCGGCAAACACACACTCGCCAAGTCCAGATGTCCTTCGCATTAGTCATGGAATTAGTCATTTGTGGCTCACCAACCATGGGGTGGTGAACCGAGGTTATTTGCATCTTCTGCTTTGGGCTAGAGCTGAAGAGGCGCTGTGTTTTCAGAATTCTCTCATCTCCTAGACCCCATGTCGTCCGCCACTCCGCCACGTTGTGAGCGTCACGTGCGCTGCGTCACGACTCCACGTGCATGCCCTGCCCATGGAGACCCATCCACGGCCGCAGAACTGGCGTCGAACGAACGGCCTCGGTGGGCCGCACGAGTGCGTCGGTGTCACGTACGGTGCCTGGCCTCCTTGCCCTCGAGGACCTGACAAGTCGCACGATCACGAGCCGTCGCAGAGGTCATGGCAGGTCAGACCAAGCTTTTTTTACTCTATTTTTTGTTTAAATATGTGTTACATTGTTACATCTTCCAGGCCATGCAAAATAGCTGCCGTTTTGTTGCAACATGTGTTGTCCAGGCAGACCATTCCAGGCAGCACCGTGGCCTGACAACGCGCGATTTCGCCGGCTTGAAGCCTTTGTGGGTCTTCATCCCACTGGCTGCATCGGACGTAGGAAGGCTGTGGCGGACGAGGCGCGGCATGGCGAAGCAGCAGACCACAGCACATGACACCGGGCAAAGGGGGCAGATGCAGCTCAAAGGCCATCACGGGAAGAACTACTCCATCATGTCCTTGAGTGCCACCCTCGACGGAAGAACTTTATAGAAGACGACCTTGGTCAACGTGTCACTGTCAGGCTCAGACGGTGAAAGCCTCAGACCTGCCGAACGTCTAGGAGTCTAGCAGGACTATGAGGGGTCTCCAAGTCACCAGGTCGCAGGTTCTGATCGAATCGTCCTTCAGAATCGGTCCGGGCCGAGGAGCGTCAGAACTGAAGAATGAGGTTTTCCTGCACCTGAAATCAGAGACCAAGGGAGTTGGTTCCTTTTGACAGCATGCTGGCGGAAGTCAACATCCTCTGAGGGTGTCACAACTCACTGCTTAGTGTGTACTCCCAAACCACTTAGTCGCACCCAGACTCACCAGGTATCAGAATTAGCTTGGGGAACCAATCAGCAGATGCCGCACCAACCTGCGTTTAGCTTGGGTGACTTTAGCTGTGGTGGCGGAGTTCCATGCAGAAAGCATGAACCCAACGTGGAACTTAGTGGTTTGCCTGTAGGAGTCCTTAGCATCTTGCGGCCTTGCTTGCATTAAATCACACCCCTCGTCCACCAATCAAGCTCTTTGCACAATATGGCCATGAGTCAAAACGTTTTGGTATGGAACATGTACTCTTGAACATCTCGTTCCATACCCCGTTCCATACCTGTGGAACAGCATGTCTGTTTGCCGTTCCATACCCATCGTTCCATAATGTTCCATACCTATGGACTCCTAGTTTCCAATTGTTCGAGGTTCAATCAAAACGTGCGCTTTGCTTGCTGAAATACATTTACCGTGAGAAACGGGACTGAGATGACACGTCAGGTTTTTTGGTACAATTTGTTCCATGCCCCCGTTCCATACCTGTTCCATACCTTATGGAACAAGGGATCCGTTCCATACCCTATGGAACAGGAAGGTGCGCGATGTTCACCTGAGACCCGGGGTTTTGACGCACACCCATATGATCCATGGAACAGACGACCGGCAAAGAAACACATTTGGTGGCTTCGAAACCCTCCAGACAGGCCAGGCCATTGGGGGCCCATTTCACGAACTGCTCAGTGAAAACAGTTCGTTCTTTGTTGGTCCGACAGCGGAAGCAAGATGATAGCGTGGAGTCTTGCTCGAGCCCAGGGCGCATGATTTTTTGTGGCACCACAACCTCAACCCAGCCAGCTTTGCTTCCTGACACTAAGGTACCTGCAGGCCTGAAAGTCTGTCCACAAGAAAACGCTGAAAGACAAGTGGGTTCAAAGGTTTGCTTCCTGCCAAGGATGGCAGGGGGCCGTCCCCCACTGCCGCGTCAACAGATCTAACTAGCCGCAGCCTGGATTGAATATCTGCGGGTTGGATTCGCTCCATGCAATTTTGAATCAACATGCACACAAGGTCCATATGATTTTAAAATATTTTATACAAATGCGTCCTATGGCCTATACGACAACGTGATGACGGAAGGGGGCGCTTGGCTCACGCCGCCCGAAAGCATTGCAATGTTCAGTTGCATGGTGGACATCGCAGCTAAGCATAACTCTGCACTGGTGCAGCGACGCCTTTTTCAACCGATAGGCTTGGGAGAGACTTCACAAGCTCGATCACGAATGACAACCTCGAAAACAAACGTGCAAGACATATACATAACCCCATCGTGATCATCGTAATCCATCGTAACCCATTCCAAGGTCGAACACACATGTCCGCATCCCCGATGGAATTTCCACTAGAGAATGAGTGAAATCTACTTTTGGGCAGTCATTTTGTAGTAATTTGACCTTGTGGGCAGCCCTACATCATCGACTGTAATCAATCACAAACTGACTACAAAATGGCTGGGCTGTCCAAAATGGCTGCCGAAGAGCAGTAAACCAATGCGCGATAGACGCTGGGTCATATGCCATGGGTTCAGGTCTGTTCGGAACTGCAGGGCTGTCGGCACCTCGGACAGCCTGTCTCTGTTCGGATCCATTTTCAGACTTTCAGGATTTGAAGGCGCACAACTTCTGGTTTCACCCACAGGCGAGAATCGGCGTGATTCGGGCGTGAATTTTTGTGATCGGGCGAGAATTTGTGTGATCGGGTGGATTTCGTAGACTCAAGTTGCATTGCATGTATTCATCACTCGCAGAATATATAATGAGCAAAAACACATTCGGGCGAGAATTCCAGGGTCGGGCGTGAAAACCATGTTCGGGCAGAAATATTGCCTGAATGGATTCGGGCTGGAATTCTAGCCTGGACGAGTTCCTAGGATCGATGGAAGGGTGAAAAAGAGGTGTTCACGGAAATAGCCGTTGCGAAGCCGTTTGTGAAAGCGCCTCCTGTATTCAACATCAGGCAACAGCCGAACGCATCGCGGCCGCAAGCGGGGAATTGACATTGGCCTTCACGCTTCGTTCAGGGCTTGTGCCTGGGTACAGCAGTGGCTGCCCTTCAGACCACGCACGGCTGTCGACTTAGACACTCAGTTGGCGGTTCGAACAAACACGCTGTCGGCTGTAAGGTTGACTCACAGCCGAGTTAGGTGGCGGATGTCTTGGTTGTCGAGGTGATAGTGCTCTATAAACTTCACGGTTCTGCACACGCTCACCCCTTCCTCGGTCTCCGCGTCCTCGATGGTCTCCTCGATCGCCTCGCCCTCGATCGCGTCGATCGCGATCACCTCTCTCACGCCCACGCTGATCGCGTTCAGTCTCGCGATAGTGAACATCCCTTTCTTCTTGTCTTCCCCGATCTTGCTCAACTGGGAGTCCTCGCTCCCTTCTCTGCTGGGACGGCCGGTTCGGATGGCCCCCTCTTGGACCACGTCTGCATGGCGGCATCAATCGCGCCGGCAGCGCGAATGGATGAGATGTTCAACACAAATGTTTGTTGTCTATTCACCCGATGTTCAATGTATGTGTATTCAACACACGTGTGTCTTTGGTATGTTGATGAGTCTATGTATGGTCAATGCCAAGTTGCAAACTCACCTTAGTATCGTAGGTCTCGTACAGCTCTCTGCGGCTGATTACCAGTTGATTGGTGGAAAGCCTGAATCTACCAGTTTGACCAACCCAGACTGGTCTTGCCCAGGTCTTGCCGGTTTGTTGCGTGGCCACTCGCCCGAACACGGTGCCAAGCTCCCAAACGGGAAGGCACGGGAAGACTTGACGTGACTGCACGGTGCCTCTGCCATCTCCAAATGGGCTTCACCGAGGCGAGAAAGCTCCCATTTGTGCCAAAGTCTTGGCCGGAAGGTCTCCATCGGCAGAGAAGAAGATCATCATACTGAAGAAGAAACCCATGAATTGTAATGGATCTTTGTGCTAAAGCTTTTGAAGATCTAGGGCTTCAAAGAATCACCAGGACTCGGACCTGCTCCAAAGAGACCAGGCTTTGGAGATCCCCGGTCATGAGGTCACCAACTGGTCATTATATGAGCTTGTCTTTTTTTTTAAGGTGTCCAGTTTATGTAGGACTGGGATGTTCGACTTAGGCGAAGCATACCCCGAAGCATACCCCCGAAGCATACCCTCTGGAATTACTACTTTAGTCTTCACACTGCGCGAAGCATACCCCGAAGCATACCCCCGAAGCATACCTCCGAAGCATACCCCATAGTCAAACATCCGGGCCCGGGAACCTTAAAAAAGACTCTGGGTGGGCCGTTCGAACAAACACGCAAGGCTGTAAGGTTGACTCACAGCCGAGTTGGCTGGACTGCCAGTTTGACCGTGTTTGACGTGACTGCACGGAGCCACCGACTGCCATCTCCGATTTACCGGGCTTCACCGAGGCGAGAAAGCTTCCATTCTCATGAATGGATCTCTGCGGGCGGCAAGCTTTTGAAGATCTCAAGAAGTAATCACCAGGACCTGCGAAAGAAAGAGACCGAATTGGGAGAAATCCCGGTCCTGAGGTCACAAACTGGTTATATGGAGACGACCAAGGGGTCTCTTGGAAGGTGAGAGAAAGGAATGGTTGTTGCGTTTTTGGAGGCGCCGTGCTTTGAAAATGCGTGTGAGAAAGTGAAAGAAGAGAGCTGAGGGGGCTGCATCAGGGCATGTGTGGTACAAT